TTTTTTTTTTTAATTTGATGAAAAATGTTCATTAATTAATTTATTTTCTTCCACCTTGCCGCCGCCGCCGCTCGCTTCCCGCTCGCTCCCGGCCAAGGTAAGCGGGATGCGGGGGCTGCGCCCAGGCTGGCGGGCGGCCAGGGCAGGCGGCCGCGCGCTGCCTCCTTCCTCCCCGCTGAGGCATTTAAAAGCAGGGGCAAAACAAGGAAAAAATTCCCCAAAAAACAAGAAAGGAGGGAGCGGGCAGGGGGAAGGGGCTGTTTCCCCCCTGCTCTGCCGCTTTGCGTGCAGGAAACGTGCGACAAAAGAGCCCCAAAGTCCCCCCAAACTCCGGCGCTCGCTTCTTTGCTCCTATTTTTTTTTTGATCTCCGTGTTTTTCTGCCCGCAACCTGCTGTTATTGTAAAGGGAAGGCAGCCGGGCGCCACGATCCCGGGGGGATCCGTGCAAAGCGCCAGGATTTTTGCCGCTGGGGAGACGGAAGCCGTGCGGAGCGCGTTGGGGTAATGGATCATTTGGGGGAAGAATCCTTAAAAACAGGAGTTTTCCTCAAGCCGGCAACTCGGGGCGCTGCTCGGCACGGCAGCGGGAACAAAGGGAAGCGGCGCCAGAGCTGGTCCTGAGAATTAAAAGCTCCGTTTGGGAAAGGAGAGCTGCGCCAGGATTAACCCTTTGGGATGCTGCCGGAGCCGCCGGGGGCTTTTCCGGGCGGCAGCGCCGTTTTGGGGGGATTTGCGGCGTTCTCTCCCTCCTGCCCAGCGGGAACGGCGGGGCTGCAGCCCTGTCCCGGCTCCGGCGGCGGGCGAGGGCTGCGGCTTTGCTCTATTCCCGGCGCGGGAATACCGACCGCTGCCTGCGCTGAGGACGGGCGGACTCGCCGCACCCCGTGTCCTGCAGCGGCCACCTCTGCTGGCGGCGCCGCTTGGTCCGGGGAAGGGGCTGAATGGGAAACGAGTCACGAGCCAAAAAACTGCAAAAAAGACCCCCAAACGCCCTGGAATTTGGGGGAATTACTGTGCGGAGCGAGGAGGAGGAGGCGGCGAGCGGCCCGGCGCTGACAGCTCGGGAGCAGAACGCGCCGGGGGACAGCGGCTCGGGGTGACCCGAGCCCAGGGCTGCGCCCGGCGCCTTCCTCCTCCTCCTCTTCCTCAGCACCTAAGGGAGGCAGAAAACCTGGGGGCGATTTGGGACACGCTGATAGGGGATAGGGGTGGCGCCTGTGGGCACCCATGGGTGCCAGTGCAGTTTGCTGAGTGCTGCCGCGCTGGTGTTCCCACGCCGGGTGTTGTCACGCCGGCTGTTGCTGGGCCGTGTCGGGTGTTCCTGCGTGGGGGGTTCCCCTGTTGGGTGCTCTCGTGTCATGTTTGTGCGCCGGGTGCTCCCACGCTGGGCTCTCCAAAGTTGGGTGCTCCTGGGTGCTGGTGGTGCTTGTGGACTGGGTGCTCCTGCGTTGAGGGGCTCTTGCCACGCTGGCTGCTCCTGGATCTGGGTTGCTCCTGGATCCGGGTGTTGCTCCTCTATCCAAGTGTTGCTCCTGGATCCGAGTGTTGCTCCGGCACCTGGTGCTCATGTGGCAGATGCTCCAGCACTGGGTGCTCCTGCACAGGGTGCTGTTGTATCAAGGGGCTTCTCCCTCACTGGGTGTTCCTAGGATGGGTTCTCCAGACCTGGCTGCCCCTGGGTTATGGTGGCATTCACGCATTGGGTGCTCCTGTATTGGGTGCTCCCGCGTTGGATGCTCCTGTGTTGGGTACTCCTGTGTTGGGTGCTCCCATGCTGGATGCTCCAGTGCTGGTTTTTCCCATGTTGGGTGCTCCTGTGTTGGATGCTCCCACATTGGATGCTCTCAAGCAGAGTGCTCCTGTATTGGGTGCACCCGTGCTGGGTGCTCCCGTGTTGGGTGCTCCTGTGCTGAATGTTCTCACGTTGTTCCCCCTGTTGGGTGCGCCTGTGTTGGGTGCTCCTATGTTGGATGCTCCCATGCTGGATGCTCCCACACTGGGTGCTCCTATGTTGGATGCTCCCGAACTGGATGCTCCCACGCTGGGCGCGCTCGGGGTGGCGAGACAAGGGTGGGCGACGTGGGAGGGCGCCGGGTGCCGCCGGTGCTGACGCTGCCCCCTCTGCCCCGCAGGCAGGCGCGGAGGGCCGGGCGGTTGATGGACGCCGAGGAGGCCGCATGGAGGACGGGCCAGCGGAGC